TCGTTTAATAGCTCCGCTCCCCCTCAGGCTGCTGGGTCGTTACGGATGCGCTGAACGGAGTCGGGTCCAGGCCGGGAGCCTCCAGGCACCCCGTGTATCCTTGGGTCCCCGCGTCAGCTCTTCTCGGGCATCCACGGGCTTGGCGTGCGTGTTAGAGCAAGGGCTTGTCCGAGCTCTTGTGTCTCGAGCTGTAAAAGCGCCCCAGGAGAGCAGCGAGTGTGAAGGCTGTCAGGAGACCTGACCCCTCCAGCCTGTCCAGCCTGGGAATTCTGGAGCGCTGCTCTGGTAGGAATAAAGTTGTCTCTGACCCGGTGTGTTCTTGACGGATCCCTGGCTGCTGTCCCTCTTCTTTGGCTTCCAAGCACTGGCGGACACTCGTCTGATGAACTTTTTTTTTCTGGGGATTGATGTTAAGCTGGGTTTGAATTTTCCCCCTTTCTCACTCTTTATAAGGGGACTACATTTCTCCTTTCTTAGTCCTCTGAGGTTTTTCAATAGAGCTTTCCAAAATATTTGAGGATGCTGTACTTAGCTAGAACTAGCGCAAAACGTGCATTATTTAGGTGCTTTGTAATTATTATTATTTTTTTCAATATAGGTGAGAATCGTAGCTATTTGGGGATTAGTTGTGCTAGTCACCTGCTTTTGCTTTTTCTGTTTTTCCCTTTTAGTGAAGATTGATGGAAAAAGACATGAAACACTTGATTCTTGTTGACATCATTTATCAAATGCTGTCATTTTCCACTGGCTAATGGATCAGTGGTTTCCACATTCTTCTTCTAATTAACAGATATCCGAATAGATTCTGTGTGTGTGTGTGTTATTCCTCAGGTTTCTTATTAAGCACTTTTTATTCTGTCCTTTAACTTTTCCCTTGTGTGCCTGGCTTGTGTGCCTGCATGATCTTAGTAGTGTGACCAGCTTTCTAATTTCTGTATGCTTTCTTTCAACGTTGGAAATCAATTAGGGCATAGTGTGATGAGTTTTGCCTTTTACTATGTGAACCTTCCCTATGCCTTGAGGAAAAACACAGTTGTGCAACACCAGTGTTCCAATGTTTGCAGTTTTACAGTTCAAATATTTGTAGAGTGATTAAAAAAAAAGTTGCTTTCAGCATTGGCCTAGCTTTTATTTATTTTTTAGAAATAATCTAAGCAAAATGACTGCAAAATAAATGTTGTGGATAACTAGATGAAATCAAGAAACTGAAAAGTTGCAGTTCCATTAGCTTGTCCACTTCACAGAGGGTGGTCAGCACTTACTTAGGTTATTTTAATTCACCATTTTGGATTGGTGAATATGTCATGACTGTTGTCTGTATATTTGCACTTCCAAAGGTTTTGGCAGTGACAGTAGTAACTCTTTTAGTGTTTTAGTTGAAAATTTACAACATTGTGTATTTCGTGCAAAAATATTTCATTTTCTGCTGTATAGCATCTTTATTTGTTACTTTGCTGACTAAATTATGAAACATTTCTGTGGCTTCAATATTCAAGATTTGGCTTTAATTTCTGGAAAGTCCTAGAGCGATCCCAAGGACTTTGTAATCTAATTTATTTGTTGATATGGACCTCTTTGTTTAATTACAAAGGGAAAAGGATTAATGAAGCTTTCAGTTTTGAGCAGCAGCTGGACACAGTCAAGAGCACAAATTCTTGTTGAAGGGTGGTAGAGATGAGCGGGGCCCTGGCGCTGCTGCCGATCCCAGTGCTTCGGTGGGTGATTCTGTTCAGGTGGGGGCTAAAGCCCTTTCCTGCTTCTGGCTGCCATCCAGCTTTATAACCATGTAAATAAAAGTGATTAAAGTGATTTACGTGTCATGGAACTTCATTTGTGGCAAAGGAAACAAATGAAGCGTTTTCATTGCCACATTGCAAAATGAGAATAGCAGTTCCAGTAAACTCTCGGATTACAGCAAAGTTTTGTGGTAAGGGAGAAATGACTGCCATAGGTGAAATTTATTGTGGTGCCTCACAAGCTCCACATGAGACATGTTTAGTGTTAATTCCTAGGAGGTAAACAGAACATCTAAATTGTTGTGTTGAATTTCATTCTCCAGAGAAATTCTGGAAAGTTTGGCTATACTGTCTTTGAAAAGATGTTGTTCAGTTCCTTGCTGCACTCTCTGTGGAACCATATGAGCTTTACTCTTTTTAATTTAAGCTACCTCTATAAAGTGCCTGTAGATCAAGTCATTTGTCACTGCCGCTAGTTATTTAGTACAGATAGTGTTTGCAGCCTCTGAGCTCCATGAAACAGACAGATCTTTATCAGTAATCAATATTTGTAATATTTGTTAATATAAATCTGTCATTACAGGCTCATGTTTTGAAGTTAATTTGTGATAAAGGACTTTATTTATGGGCCTTGTGCTCGTGGTAGAAGTAAAAGCAATGAAGGCCCCATAAGCTCTATCCGTAGCTACATTGGGACATCAAAGTCAAACCGCGTAGACTCGAATCCTCCTGTGAAACCGAACTAATAAGCAGTAATAATGGAGAAACCTGACGCGTTCCCAAATTGCAGAGAAGCCCTCATTAAGATGCAGCAGCTGTTGGTTTTCACGACCGCGCGATAAGGACACGGTGGTGATGGATCAGCAAGTTTGCTTTTACTGGAAAACACACGCATCTTTCTTACCCACTGTAATGGCTCAGCATTAAGGAAGAGCAGGAGAATAATGAGAGCAATTTTCTGTTTATTTTTCTTTCCAGTATGCCTCGGGGCAGGGAGGGCAAATGGATGCTGAAGAGAAAAACTGTATCTGGAACTAGTCTGAAAATAATAAATATGTATCCCAGGAGTAGCACTGTGTGCAGTTTGCCTAGTCTTAGAAAACTTCTGACTAACTTGGTCTGCCAGTTGGTTGCCAGCCTCAGCTAGGGAATCTGCTTAGCCCGTGCAATTCGGCAAGCTCTTTTTCTCACTTTGAAAACGGTCGGGATGTGAATTAACTAGCTCCCGTTCCTTGTTTCCTTCTGCTTTCCCTTTCACATATCGGAGTGGTATTACTCACAGCTTCTTTTGGCTGCTTTGGAAACTCGGAGGGCTTTCAGCAAATAACGACAAGCTCTAGGTTTTCCTGCTACGCAGTGAAACTACAACAGCCCGGTAATCCTATGGCTGCGTGAAGCAGCGTCTGCCCCTGTGGTGTCCTTCCTTGGAGGGGAAAGCAGGCAGGAGAGGCACCGGAGGGCTTGTTAGGGCCCAGCGTCTCGCACGGTGCCTCGCCGTCATGCGGTGCCTGCCCTGCTCTGTGCCCCTCGCGTGTGCAGCCTCCACGTGTGCAGCTTGGGTGGCTGGTTTTCTTCCCGAGACTTCGAAACGGTGTGCTGGCTTCCCTAATTTAACTTGTCTGTAATATCCCTCATTGAAGGATCGCACGGTCTCTGTTTGCTTTGGCCTGTAGTCTGTAGGAGCCCAGCTGATCTAATTAATAACATCCTATTTCTACATTAATCTTAAGTGGAGCAGAATCAGTGATAGATCACCTTTTATTTCAAAGCAAGCTCAAAGTCTAAGTCTTTGACTAGGTTTTCTGCTATCTGCCCTTTAGACATATGCTTCAGAAAAGCATGGTCTTCTCTCATCAGAAGGGAAGCAGTTTCCTGAGGGCAGGCAGTGGTTTGAAATTGAATTCTTTTTGTTTTATACCCTGTGAAGGAATAAGATTCATTCCAGCTTCTTCTTGCCCATATCCCAAAGTATGGGTGCCAGGCATGTTCACAAGCCCATAGAAAAGTTAAATAAGCTTTTAAATCTTGAACGGGATGTATCTAAACAAGAAGCTCTTCCTACTTAAGGTTGGCTGCTGTCACTCTACACTGCGCTTCTCTAGCGTGGCTTATATTTTCTTCCATAAAGTGCTGTCTGTGGCAAAAATTAATTTAATCTTTCCCAAGTTCTCACATGTCTTAACTGAAGTGTACACCAACAAAGAGTCAGCGAGGCAGGTTTGAAGCTTCAAAATTCAATCATTGTGGCATGATTGAGGTTTTAATTCCACTCACTGGAAAAGCTGCGTTGAAGAGGCACAGGTGGCTTAATGCCTGTCATCACTGGAACCGTGGATCAACTGCACGGTCCTGAAAGGGCGACCTTCATTTTCTCTGTGCTGCTGAGGCCCTCTAAATGTCAGAGACATGTAAGAAAACGGGCACTGACATATTCCAGCATGAGGATCGCACAAATGCATGCTCCTGTTTCAATTTAAGCTAAAATAGATGTCAGGCTTGAGACTGTTAGTTTTTAGCATTTTTGTTAGTACTAGCTTTTAAGTGCGGTCTTATTTCATTGAGTCAAAATCAGCTCTTCGGGTTCAGTTTCATTTCCTAAATAAAGACGGTCGGCCTGAATTCCCTGCTCCCACATCCTGTAGGACACAAAGGCCATGAATCCTGCCTTTACATTCCCATTGCTGATCCATTTAGTCTGTTCTTAGGCTTATGCAGATGTGTGTGTACTGTTTACGGATAACACTTAATTCATAGTTGAAATCCCATTTCACCTTGAGGAAATCTTGCAGACACAAGGGTTTTTATGGGACTTGTGTGTCTCGTCTGGATTCTTCGCTACGTATTTGTGGCATGGTGCCTTGGGTCCTTGTGATAAAGCAGTGAGAGCTAGCCTTACCCATACAGCTTTCAAACTTGTAAAATAAGTGTCTAAAAGAGAAAGAAAAGAGAGGACAAATTTGTGTGTGTGTTTTTTGTTGTTGTTGGCTCCCTGGAGGTTGTTGGTTGGAGGCTCTTCTGAACTCAGTGTCCATTGGTTGCTGGAAAATGGCTAAGCTGCTGCAAGGCAAGTGAGAGCATGATAGTATTTAAAATGAGGAGGTTGAATTGCAGGAAAAAGCTGTTAGTAAGTGGATACCCTACACTTATCCTTAACCTCGGATCTGGATTTTTTTTTTTTTAAACTGATGCTTAAGGTTTTTAAATGCCCTCTTCTCTGCTGCCAGATGTCTCCACAACATTCTCTTTGTTCCTTTTCGTTCGCAGGTTCCAACTATGGGAGTCCCCGTCCAGCTCATGCCAACATGAACGCGAACGCGGCCGCGGGGCTCGCCCCCGAGCACATCCCCACGCCGGGGGCGGCCCTGTCCTGGCAGGCTGCCATCGACGCCGCCAGGCAGGCCAAGCTGATGGGCAGCGCTGGCAATGCCACGATATCCACGGCTAGCTCCACACAGAGAAAACGGCAGCAGTACGGGAAACAGAAAAAACAGGGTACCACCACAGCCACGCGGCCTCCCCGGGCTCTGCTGTGCTTAACACTGAAAAATCCCATCCGGAGGGCGTGCATCAGCATCGTCGAATGGAAATATCCTTTTGGGCCTCCCCTTTGGCCAATGGCAAATTTGCTAGTGTTCATCGGGCGCTGTTCGTAAGTGCGGAGAAATCGATATATTAAGTTGAAAGGTACCACTGGGAGCGTAAAGTACACAGGTAGTACTTGACATCTTAATTGAGATCACTTATTCTTGGGGGGGAGGTGGCGGGGGGAGAAATGGCCCTAGGACTGAAGCCTTACTTGTACCAGGGTGCAAGAAGCCACCAGAAGTTCAAAGCATGTAAAGGTTCAGGGTTGCATTCTGCCCTGGCACGCACGTGTGCAGCACAAGCTGAAGCTGCTGGCAGCTCTGCAAGGCCCATCAAGGTGCATGTTCTCCAGCCAGAGGTGAGCTGACTCTGTGAGACTGATGGCAGCAGCTGCTGCCTTTCCTTTCTCTGTAGTGTAGAAAAGGGCACAGCATGTATTTAACAAAAATGTGTATGCTTCAAAATACCAGAGCTGCTTTAACTAGTGGCCCTTCTGCAGAAAGACTGGGATAGAAAAAAAACGTATGTGATAAAACCCTAAAATAGCGCTAAGCTCTGTTAATCATATTGGCATTCCATTGAAACCAATAGCACTCCCTAATGGCAAGATAAACCTTGCGAGTGTCTGGGAGCAGGGAAGGAGAGAGGCAGCTGGAGTAACCCTGCAGCATGTCCAAATGGGAGCCGGAGCGGGGAGCAGAGCGCGACACCGGCGATGGATGCGCAGCCCTGACCGAGAGCTGCAGGAACGCGGGGTCGGCTCTGCTCCCTGGGAAGGCAGCCGAGTCTGGCCGTGGGCTTCAGCGAGCGACCGAGCAGAGCTGCTCCGCTCAGCAGAGCCGAGGGAGCGCACGCCTGAATTGTACACTTTGGTCTGAAATCCAGGCTGAAATAAGAACACCTCCCCTGCCCTCCCCAGGGAAACGAAAACTGACCCTCAGCAGTAACTATCAGTAAATCGAAAGCTAACGGTGTTCTTCACTAAATACAAGACAGGAAGCATGTTGCTAGGGGTAGGTAAGTACATTAAGGGCAGGCAGTACAGAACTCAACGGTAGTTAATATGATAAGAAAACAGGAATGATATTTAAGACAATGTGATAAGATTGTTTCTTTGGAGGGTCTGGTGGGATATTAGGAGAATGAAAACAGATTGACTGTGTTAGGTCTTGCTGACATGGACATCTTTTTCAGATGAAGAACTTGTTAAAAATGCTCCTGACAATTCTTTGATGTCCTTAAAGTAGGTACCTGCCTATTCCTTTCTTCTTTGGATGCTAATTTTTAATCCCCTTGATTAGATTTGTTACTTTTTATCCCATCTGGCACATCCCTGTTACTTTAAGCATAAGATGATGGATGATGACTAACAGGACAAGGCTGAATATTGGTTTACTTGCCAGCACCTCAGTAACCACATGTCTTTAGAGAGAGAGCACAGAGTGACATCTGATAAATGAATAAGATCAGCAATGAATGATGGGAATGATGTGCTGTAAAACAGGATACAGCACTGCTGAGATCAAGAGAGCACCAAACAACGTGATTAAAGCAATCCAAAGATGCTGGTGCTTGACTTTTTTTTTTTTGTATTTATTTGGTTTTAGATGAGTTCGTGGAAATATATTTCTTTTTTCCTGTTAGAATCTCTCATTGGACATCTCGTGTTTATAAACATGAAATACTTCAGTAACAAATAACATCATCAAAAGGCTGTGATAAGATTTATTTTTTTGTACTCTGACTCTTCCTAATTGCTAAAAATTACTGAAAAAAAGCTGAGCTTAATTTTCTGAACATCATCTAAATTCTAAGCACAGTGGACATTAAACAAATATCCAAAGCTTTTTTCTGCAGGGTTTCATATCCAAACATTATGGTGTTAAGAGCTTGTAAGTGCAACTATGTATTTGTTTATATATATGATATGAGGTGGCCTGAAGTAATTACCTTATATTTCAAAGATTTACATGTGTATTTAAGTGCATTTTGGACAAAGTTCCTTTTGTTGCCTTTACCTTTATTATTGGGGCTTTAAACGTCTTGCAAGTATATACATACATTTCTTCAAGCCTTTCCTTTAACTTTCAGATATTAGAGGGAAAAAATACGAACTTTGGTTTAAAATAATTTTTAGGGTTTGTACCTGCAGATGGAAAAGACCAAGACAAGCTGTAATTGTGAGAGGAAAGATGACGGTCCTTCCAGAGCAGACTTCTAGTATTAAAAATAGAGCAGCCGCACTTGAAGGAGAATAGGGAAAATGCAATCTAAATAAATAAAAGAAGAAAAAATTTTAAGAAATCTGTGTTTACTCTGGCACGCGACTGGCCTACACTGCTTTTGACATATTAGGAAGATTCTTGGCTGGGAGCTCTTAAGAGCACTTAAAAAGGCATATGTTTCTTTTCAGAGTATAAGGGACTTGGAATGTTTTCTTTAAACAGGATTCTTATAAATCTTTTATTTTTTATTTGTGTTTGCACGCTTCAGAACAATTCCCTTAACTCCATTCCTCAGACCATTTGAAATAATTATTTTACTGACTATTTTTGCCAATTGTGTGGCCTTAGCTATCTATATCCCCTTTCCAGAAGATGATTCCAATGCCACCAATTCCAATCTGGTAAGTCCTTACTGGTGTCTAGTCTTACGGCTTTGAAAGTCCTTCTAAAAAGTGACTATAGTGATTGTTGAAGCTAGGAAACATGAATATATCCACTGAAGATGAGACCATAACAAAATGGGTGTTTTGCTTCTTCATTCACGTTAGCATCTGTTTTGATTGAGTTGGTTTTAGACAAGAATGTTCCAAAAATTGCATGGATCCCGTGTATGAAGTTATGGTTAGTGAGCTTCTGCATGCTGCAAAAGTGCTTGGTAAGTTTAAACTGCAGGTGTTTGCAAGAGAATTCTTGTTATAAGGTGCTTTCCATCTTACTAAGTGCCACTGTGAAATAGATACAGTCCTGCTTTTGGGTTATACATAGGAACTGGTTTGATGACTTATTTCTAGGATGTGAATTAATGTTTGCTTTTCACATTAATATGTGCTTTGGTAGAACTATATGCATATATATATATGTATAGACTTTTGTTGGGGAAGGTAGTTTTTTTTTTCCTGTTGCTATTGGTGCTAGTCTTGGTACCTTGGGATAGAGTTGTCCGTGGAACAAGGAAAGAGAGTTTACTTCTGGCTCAGCATGAAGTCATAGCAAAGAATTCTGTTCAGCAAGGCATAAAACAGTTTGGGAATGTAAGCCACTGAATTAGCAGCAAACATTTTTCTTCCTTCCCAAATATGTGAACAAAACTCCTACTTGTCTGGTTGAGTCAGATTAAAAATTTACTCCAAAGATTTAAGAGCGGGGACGCTATTTTCTTCCTGAAATTTAGCGGGCATAAGAATTTTTAGAACAGAGGTGGAAAATAAAAGCCACGCTTCTAAAGTAGGGGTAGTTGGGAGGCCTGTTCTCTGCAAGTCAGTCATTTGATTAAAAATATCTTTTGGAGTTGTGTAAAACAAATGGCAAACTTGAGGGCTTTGTTGGAACAGAACTCATGATTAAAAAAATCTAGTGATATGCTTGATACTTTTCCATTCTAACTTTTTAAAGAAGTTTAGAAAGTGGAACAGGAGGAGATAAGTGATTATTAAACTTCAAGTATTTTCTGTATTTACAATTGATTTCAAGTCCGAATGAGGTTTAGAACAAAGGAGTTCATGAGTTGGTGTTATCTCCTGCTGCCGTCTTTTTGCTAGCTTGACTTAACATGGAACTGCAATGACCTGTCTTGTGTATGTTTAGACTTTGTCAGCCTGGCACCTTTCAAAAATAATATTTTTATATTAAAAAATGCACATTCCTTTGCTCCTCAGTGACTATAAAAGCTGGGTTCGTTATACATCCTTCTTTTACAGGGTTAAAAGGCAAAAATAAAGCCGAGTTGAAAGTTTAGAGGACTCTTAATTTGTTTTGAGCTTAATTGAGTGTGGGTGTTTGCCTTATTTCAGCGATAAGACTACTGGCTAATACCAGGCTGGGGATATATTGAAATAACTTTGTAATTGGATGAGGTATATTGAAGCTGTTCTATTATTAAAAGAACATATTCACTTTGTGAACTGAATTGCTATTCTTAATCTGTTTTCCAGGAGTTCTCTTGCATCTCTTACCTTGTTTGGCCAATCCTTCAAAATACCCACCTTATTTATGGATAGGATTAAAACCAAACTGAGAATTAGCCTCCTCCAAAAGTCTAGAAATTCTATCGTAACTTTGAGGAGAGGGAGTGTGGTTAGTTTTCCTGAATAGCTGTTTCACAGAAGTGAGGAGCAGAGGAGAGTGAATGGAGCAATCTGCTTTCCTGCACCTTTTTCCCTGAGCCGTTAAGCATAGCAAGACTCACGCTAGTGAAATTAAGGCTGTTCCACATTTTGGATCAAGCTCTGGAGCTCTGCCTGCCCGGCAGCCTTTGGTTGTGTGACCTGAAAAAGGAGCATTCCTTTTGCAACATGCAAGTGGTAGGGTGGGACGTGGTTAGTCCCGGGCACGGAACTGCACTTTCATATTCCATTAAACTCGATTCAGCACCATCACCTGTTAGATCTTGGGTTTTTTATTTTCTTTTTCTCATGTTGCTGTATGTACTGCTGTTAGGAAACAAACTTTTAGAGCCAGTGTCAGACAACTGCATTGCCAAACGCTTCACAGAATTACAGGTTGTGATCAGTGAAGTACTGAGCAATAGGGAGTGGAGGCAAAAGGGTGAGATAAGGGTGAAAAAATGTTAGTTGTGTCTTGGAATGGGATGAAAGAGTAGATGAAACGCAGAGTTAAAGGAAAACAGTTCCATATGGCAGGAACTGCAGAGGAGAGGGACCTCACACTCAAACAGCCAAAGCGTACAAGGAAGACTAGACCAGACAGAAGCTGGGATTGGTAATGTGTTCCTGTTGCAAAAGCTGGGATACTTGCTCGGTTTCTGTTGCGTGTCTCCCCCGCCGGCCCCAGCTGGGAGCAAAAATCCTGCAGTCAGATTTATTCTGTAGCTATGAAGTCTGGAGCTCCAAAGGCTACAATTGGGTGTGTGTCTGCTGCGTGTGAGCACAGATACGTGAGCTTGTGCATCAGTGTAAGCCTGAGAATATACAGAGTCTGCCCAGAGAAGGTTTTACTTGCATAAGAATTCATGTTTCATTTCCACTTTGCAGTTTAGTTTTGGGAGGGGGATAAAGTTACCACAGTCATTCCCACATTCCTGGTTTCCTGAGGCATCCTTGACTTCCTGAGATATGGAGAAACTATATGCAGGAAACATGTGATGGATAGTAACTGCTTTGTAAGGTCTGAAGGACACCAACAGTGGACACCAATAAACTACTTTTCCCTTAGGGTCGGAGTATTCCTTTTCTAAGATTTCATCATAACTTTTCAAACTGTTTTCTTTTAGGGCTGAGGGTAAAATTCAAGCAGTTGCTTTTAATAAGCTTCTGAAGTAGAGAGTGGTGAGAGAAGAGTAAGGAGTTCTGCACTGTGAGCAGCTTTCTTCTTACGCAAAAGGGGAAAGTGATGGCTAAATGATGCTTTGGTGAATGGTTATCTGTGAATTTCCCAGATGTGATTGATAGGCCATTGGTCAAGTGAGGCATCCTTATTGCTATGTCTTGCTTAGAAGTCTTGGTTACACATACCTTGTTAGATACAAAATCCAGTAATATGTATTCATATCTCCTTCTTAATAAACCTTGCCTTTAGGTACAACAGCTATTCAACATTATGCCGTCGTTGTTGTCAGCATGCAGACTAGAGCTCTGTACCGAGGTTCCCAATAAATAATCCTTTTCATTTTAGGCCAAATACTACACAGATGTATTGACTGGGTCCTTGTGATCTGACTTCGTGTAATAATAGTTCCTGTAAAACAGCAAGTTATTTATATTGGGTCCAGGTATGGTAGCTGGACAACGAAGCAGTTTCACTTTTGAAAACGCATATATATATGCCCAAACCCTGATTTTGCATTTTTATGTTCATTAGAGTGTTTTTGCTACTCACTTTAAGAACAATATCATGTAGTAAAAACAAATGTTTGTAACTGGCTTCTGTAGTTTTAATGTTTTCTTTTTGTGCTCTGTTCACTGGAAAACTATTAAGCTTGTGCAAATGAAAGGGAGTTGTATTAAGTGTAAAAGCGTTTTTGTATTAATGAACCCTGCTGAGGCTTTGCTTGAATTTACAAGCAAAGCAAGCTCAGGCCTGACAGTGCTGTGTATTCTCCTGATGGAGTCAGGAAAATTGGAGTTAGTTTGAAGGGAATCAGAGTTAGCCTACATGAAAGGCTGTATCCGATATAGAGGCTTTCTGCTTGTTATCCCTGCAATTATGCATTAGAACAGAGATAATGTACATTCAGGGATAAAACTACAGATAGGAAGCCGAGAGGGAAACACTTTTGTGACTTTACTGGCAATTGCAAAGGGCACGAGCCTGGCCAGAGTCATAGCGGGGCGATAATGTGATGAGGTTCAGACCAAGGTTTACAACAGGTTTCGTGGAACGCGGTGCCGTCCGTTGTTTCTGCCTTGGATAAATAGAAGGAGAAAATGCCTTGTGCTGTTTTGAAAGCTCTGTTTTCCCTCCCTTGCCTTTACTATAGGAAGGAAATCCTATTGTAAAATAGTTAAATTAAAAAAAAAAAGGATATACGAGTTTATAACTGGATGCTGCTGCTTTGAGGCTAATTTGCTAAAACCTGAAATTACAACCATGCAGCAAGCAGACACGGGTTTGTGCCTGCTTCTCGGTGGTTGTGACCGTGCCCACGGGAAGGGGACTCGCCTCGCGCTGAGGAACGGCTGCGTTGCTGCTATCCTAGTGTCCTGCCGAGTGGGTGATCTCTGTGGAAAGTGAGGAAATATTAAAAATGTCTTTTGGCTTTTGCAGCAGGCTGACCTGGTAGATGTGGAAGTGGCTAGATACCTACTGTATTCCCAGATGCTGGCAAAACAAGCATTTTATAAGTTTTACAGAGAAAACTGAAGGATTGAAGAAGAGAAAGGAACAGGGTTTTGTGCATAAGGAAGGATATCAAAGTAAAGCTCTTGGGTCTCTTCTGTCATTGCTGTAGTTCTCCTACGTGCCAGTTCAGACTAGCAAGTGACTGCAGTAAGGACACGTGCGAACATTAAAGGTGAGGTGCTGGGCGCCTTAGGTGGATCCTAAGCTAGTAAACTCCGGTAGGTCTGCTAGCTTAGGCCTCAAAGCCAGGGCAGCCTGGTGCAGCTCAGGATGGGGAGGAGGGTTTAGAGTTTGGGAAGTGAGGAATAAGTAACAATATCTGAAGGAGAGGAGCTGAGGAGGGTGGAAAGGGATTGGTGGGGGAGATGAAAAATTTGTTCAAAAAAAAAAAAAAAAAAGATCAGTGAGGACTTGCCTCAGAAACACCGAGAGGTGCTGACCTGGGCGACTCTAAGAAAGCTGGATATGAGAAAATTTAGGCTCAGCTCTTCAGGTGGTCAGTGAGACTTGTTATTCGGAAGTTCTCGGGATCCCTTCCTCTGGCAAGGAGCCTGATGGATGCTCTGTGTCTCTGGCATTAGTGGAACACAGGTGAGGAATGAGCACCGCGTTTGAGATTGGAGCCTGTATGCTGGTTCTGCTATTGGCACGCTCTGCGGCCTGGGGTAAATTGC